GGATCCTGGATCAAGTAGGATTTAAAACAACCTGTAACTGAGTCAATTTAAAAATAATTAGTGATTCACACAAATGAGTGCTCTGAAGTTTGGTTTTCCACACAGCTGAGGTATTGAAGTTGGGAATGGAAGGTGCAGGACAGGAGTGCCCGGCCCCGCTCTGCACAGCCCGGGCCTCGGGCACCGCTGCCACAGGGCCCTGCTGCTCAGCAGGCAGGAGCTCTCCAGCCTCGCAGAAAAGCGTCCAGTGTTTGGCCAGACAGGCTCCGAGGGCACTAATTCTTTTTTAATTAATGCCATCTGTTTAGCTCCCTTCCCTTTCAAAGCCCCCTTTGTCTCCCCCGCGGGGTGTGCGGGCAGGGCAGGGCAGCAGCCCACAGCCCTGCAGGGCTGAGCACACAGTGCCAGTCACCTCCCACAGCTGCTCATATGGGTGGCTATTGACCCAAATTAGTGTTTTTAAGAGGAAAAACTGGAAACAGAGTATCACATAACAAGATGCTGCCGGAGCTCAGCATCCCTGCTGCCAGATGCTGGGGACAGGCAGCACCACAGCCTGCAGTGCTGCCGGGCAAAGGCAGAGAAACCCACTGCACCAGGGCCCCAGCCTGCTGGAGGCACTTGGGAACGGGATTGCAACTCAAAAACCAAGGGAGCAGGAGAACGGGGAGCAGGGAGCACAAGCACCATCTCAGCTCAGCAGCTGTCCTATCCCAACAGGATCTCCTCCCCACCTCCCAGTTCTCTGCAGTCGTTCTTTGCACTCCGGGTCACAGAGGCTGAAGCCCCACTGCACCAGGGCCCCAGCCTGCTGGAGGCACTTGGGAACGGGATTGTAACTCAAAAACCAAGGGAGCAGGAGAACGGGGAGCAGGGAGCACAAGCACCATCTCAGCTCAGCAGCTGTCCTATCCCAACAGGATCTCCTCCCCACCTCCCAGTTCTCTGCAGTCGTTCTTTGCACTCCGGGTCACAGAGGCTGAACATTGATGGGCCCAAAGGGACAGTGGTGGGGCAGGGCCCCTCAAGGCCAAGATGTTACCTCCAAGAATGTGGCTCGAAGCCCGTGCAGTTCCCCCTGCAGCGCAGACAAGGCACACCTCTTCCTGCCGGCGCCTGGCTCAGCGACATCTGGAAAAGAGCAGGACAGGGGAGCTGTGGAGGCTGCATCCTCAGGGACTGCCTGAGGACAGAGTCCTCACTGTCTGCTTTGTCCCTCAAACCTCCGCTTCTTCAGCCCTGTGCTGTGAAGCCTCAAGCATCCCAGACACCATTTGGCCACTGCCCCTGCAGACCTGCAGCAAGTGTTAAGGTTCCTTTGATTGAGTTAATGTGTTTCACACCAACCTGTGCAAGTCAGACACTTCATGCAGCAACATGGAGCTGTGTTGCCACGACCTGATGTTAGACTTGCCTTACCACAGCTTGCACCTCCTTGGTCTTTCTACAGGGGTTTAAGTGTATTTTGGGAATGTGGCACTTCTGCATGGCTCTGGCACTGGGCTTTGGGGAGGGCTTTCTGAACAGGAAACATGGCAGGGAAGGGTCGTGGGCAGGAAAGGCAGAGGGGCTGAGGGCCATGGCTGTGCTGTGCTTGCTGTGCCTCACTGGAGACTGAAGAAAGTCAGTTTTATACTTGGATGCTCCCTGCTGCAGAGGGATGGTCCTAAACCTCCCAAGAGGAGAGAGATGAGTGCAGAAAACCACAACAGCAGCCAGTCACATTGAAAAACAACTGTTCTAGTGACTGCGCCATGGATTGATCAAGCATGGCTTTTTGAATGTGAAGAACACAGCAGCATTACACAGTGCCCATTTCTTGCAGCTTTCTGACCCCCTTGGGTCTCTATCAGGGCTTAACACACACAGTCTCACCAAACCATGGCCTTTCTGGGGCTTGCTCCCATTCGTCAAGTGCTTGTACACCCTCAGTCCCTCTCGAAACACAAGCTTCTTCCAGGCACCAACTACTCATTGGTGTGCACACATTCAGAGCCCACCAGAAGAGCTGAGGCTGCAAAGGTTGCTGAGGGAGAAGGGTGTGCCTGCCTGGCCAGGCTGAACCTGCCTGTGTGACAGCAGCCTGTCATCAGGCACTACTCAAATCAATAGTGTGACACCTCCTCCTGCCCCAGCCCTCATCCCTGTCTGCTGCTCCCCAGCTTTTCATGGACAGTTGGTTCTGGAGATGGCCAGACACTGGTGTGCAGATTTTGAGGCAGGCTCTGAGCCTTTACACTCTGTGAGCAGGACTCCTCAGTGCCCACCCCGAGCAGCACAGCCCACAGGGGATGGAACCGCCCGTTCAGCAACGTTTGCTCAAGGATGCTCCTTCATTTGTGCCTCACCTCCCACCCCTAGTTTTCACCTCAGTTTTCACTGGCAGTCTTTCCAGGTATTTTGAAGCCAGTGAAGAGACCTCTTGCCCTGGGAATCCATAAAAACACATCTTAGAAATGGTCTTAACATGTGCACACGCACAACTCCCCTGTGCCTTCAATATCCAGAAAACTAGAACATTTTTGATTGCTCAGCTCTGTGCCAGCTCTCCAGAACAGATAAAGACATTTAAGTTTCCAGCCCAGACCACTAACAATCTGGCAAGCTCTGGAACTGTGAGATACCTACTAACTGATGGGGCTTTTTTACTGACTCTGGTATTATCGAGTCAGACAGAAGCTGAGTATAGGCAAGGGACTATGGATGGTTGTTTATTAAAAATACAAACATCTGGATTAAATCAACACATTTGGAGACATTTCACTACACAAGTCCCTCAAGAGCTTCTGACCCAAGGGACACCCTGCAGCACAGGTTGTCCTCACAAGGCTTCCTGAAGCAGCTGACACAAGGCAGGTTGGACCTTCCCACCTACTGACCTGGCACAGCACCTCTGCCAGCACCCTGGGAATTGCCTTTGAACTCCTACTGTTGTCTCACCACATACACATTTACTCAGCCCAAAGAAATACAGTAAAACAGATCAGGTTTAACACAGCAAAGTCCCTGCTCTTAAACTGCTGTGATCGTTTAACTTGAACAAACCCATTGGCACCAACAGCCCATCCTCACCTGGGGGTTATACAACTGAAGCTGATCATCCATTTCCTCAAGACCAAACCAAACAAGTCCTAGCCCTGATCATCAGCCACAGACAGCTCCAGATGTGCACAGATGACCTAGCCACCAGCCCCCCCCTTTGTGCATGGCTTCAGCCAGGACCAGACCACATGCCTTTGCAACCAGGAGCTCCAGATCTCCTTGGAGACTCATTTGCCATGTACATGGCATGACTTGCTGCCCCTCAACACGAAAACTTGCTGCAAGGCTGAAGCTATAGGGCAATATATGGGGGAAGCAATGTGTTAACTGAGAGGCTCTTCAAGGCCAGATGTGGCTCCCGAGATGGCTCCCAAAGCCCAGCCACGTCTGTGGGGAGGACAGAGTCATCCCTCACTCCCTCAGAAGTGGAGGGAGGTTTGAGGCACTCATTTCCATCTCTGTGCAGGGGCCAAACATAACAGGAGTCACTGCCTGTTTTCTGGGCTGCCTGGTCAGCAGGACTTCCTGCCCAGATATGGAGCTTCTCCTTGCAGCTCTGCTCCGGCTCCTCAAACACGCATAAAAGGAGATTTCTTTACCAAAAAAAAAGAGACACAAGACCCTGCAAAACACTGGAAACCCACTACGATAATGTGAAACAAATGCTCACCAACTAATTCGACTCACCTATGCCCAAGCCCACTTGGTACCATCAGTGTTAAAAGAGGAGCCACTGAAGTTTAAGATAAAATCTGAGGATACTTGTAATCCCTTTTAAAAAGGCCTGTGCCAACAAAGGGCTTGGAAGAAAAGCAAGTTCTGCTCCCCATGACTCGCTATATGATGCATTTTAAGATTCCTGTTTTGGCTTTTTGTGTCTTAAAGCATTCGTGCTATTAAAGGAGAGAAAGTCAGTGCAGAGGAAATTCTTAGGTAGTGAAATGATAGGAAATTGAGGCTGGTTTACCCACAAAAACATCTCTGAACAATCCCAGGCGTGCGCCAGCAGCACCACGGCTCCCTGTTAGACCTGCCAGAGGCAGCGCCATCCCAGACACTGGTCACTCCTCTCCATGCCTGGAAAACAGGGAGCCTGGAATGACAAGTGACAAGGGAAAACGCAAACACAGCTCCTTCTTGGTGTAGAGTTTAAGGACTCCTTTGGAAAGGAGCACTGAGCTTCCAAAGGAGGTCTGGCAAGATGGTGCCCTGGTTAGAAGTTATGAGCAGGTCTGGGTCCAGCTCCACCAGCCTGCTCCTTTCACAGCTCAGCTGAGGCTCCAGAAGGTTCTTCTGGTGTATCATTACCAGTCCAGCACACCTTGGCCAATGACCCTTTGCCAAAGAGTCTACTGAAGCTAGTTTGACACCTGAGTTTTTGTGAAGGAACCATCCAGCTGAAGAATTTGCTGACATTGCTTAAGGGAAACACAAGTCTGGCACTTGGTTTTTGGCCTTTTCTTTTGCTCTCAGACTGCTCTCTAGATCCTCTCTCCTCAGCTGTGCACAAAGCACAGGGTCAAGATGAACCTGATCCATCAGTTTTGACCTCCAGCAGCAGCATGCTACATGTCATGAGGCCACAGCACAGACTTGAAATGACAAACAAGGTGAAAGCTCCAGCTGCTAAACCATCACTGAACAGTGACAACTGATGTAAGAAGATCCTTATCTGAGCAGGACGCTTGGACCACACTCCCCTGGAAGACCTTTAGCTCTTATCTCCTGCAAATCCAAAGCGACCTTGGTCTAATCACAAAGAGAGTCTGTAATAGCCCTGCAGAAAGGAAACCCACACCTTGAGAGGCCACGGTACCTCCTAGCAGGGTGGTTTCACCATCAGCAGCACAGGGACTATGTGAAAACAGCTTCCACCAGAAGAGGACATCCCCTGGGCCAGCAGCAGCACTGGCCACCACTGGCTGCTGGGGGGACACACCTGCAGGGCCACCAGCTCAGAGACTCATCTGGGGCTGCATCCTCTGAGGAGCTCAGGCCTGAAAGAAGGTCCAGAGTTTTGGAAAATCTGGCTAGTGTGGTTATTATTCAAAGACCCCTGAGGACCCATAAAGCTTCCCTGAACACACAGCAGTGATAGGACAGGAGGCAGGACCTGCCTGCCCTGTGCTGTGGTGCTCAGTGCCAGCAGGGAGCACCAGTGCCACCAGCACAGGCAGGTGGGGGCTGCAGGGTGGCCCCACAAGTGTGGGGCATTGCCTGAGGCAGGGGCTGGCCTCCAGCCTCTAAAAGGACTTCAGGACTGGCTGCCCCAGCAGGGACCAGCACACAGGGCCCTCCTGCTCCTGCAGAGCCTTCTGGATCCCAACAGCACTTCTTGCACAACACCCTATTTGGAGGCTAAAAACGGCGATGGAGACACGTAACCACCTCAAGTATGTTTTCTCCTCCTTTTTAGGAAGGGAAGAGGAAAAACTGATTTCCAAAAAGCTACTACAAGTTCACAACAGCCCTTTGGAGCCGAGGTCCTCATTTCACCCCTCCTCAAGGACAGATAGATCCCCAGCACCCGTGGCAAGCGCAACACGAACCTTCGGGTGCAGGCTCTGGAGAGCCTCACACAGGGCTGGCACTAGGTACCCCACTCCCAGGAATCACTGCCAGGGCAGAGGAGAGCCCAAGGGAAGTGGTGGGACCACGTGGACACTTTGGGTGGGGTTCCTCCAGCTGCAATGAATTTTGGAGATTAACAACTCTAACTTTGAGACGAAGTGCCCTGAACAAAGAAAAAAGGAAAAGTCATATGATGCTCACATGGGTGGGACCAGTTTCCTCAGTACAATTGTGGCAGAGTTGAGGGATCCAGATGGATAGCAATTAGCCTCTTGTCATGATTAGGCTATAGTAGAGCTACATTGCATAACAGGGAGCTCCACCTTCCATAAGGATCTGCAGGGACTGGAGGGATGTTCACATCTGCCAGGGAGGCATCCCTGTGGCAGCACAGGAAGGCTGTGGCTCTGGAAAAGCACATCCCTGTCAGTCAAGCTGGGCAGTATTTAGGCTGCAGGAGACAAGGCAGCCAAGCCCAGCAGCAAAACACAAACACCTCCAAGGGGCTGCTTCAGCTG